GAGCTGGGAAATACAAGGAGTGTATTTAAATGGAAAGCATGTACTGCTCAGTTTATGTAGCTTGTCTGTTCCTGAGATAGAGAGCTGGGAAGCACTCCCCAGTGGTGCCTGTATCCATGAGGGAGATCCCGAATAACATCCCGGGGTGCCTTGGGTGTCAGGCCTCAGTGCCTGGAGTTGCCAGCAGTGTGTGCTGCCATAAGCAGCATATCCCTGGAACTCACAGGCAGTGTGGAAACTTTGCCTAATGGAGGCACAATTCCAGAGCAAGGGAAGCATGGAGGCAAATCTGGTGTGGCCACATTCAGAAGAGCTGCCTTGCCAATGTCCATCTGCAGGACCCTCTTGGGCCCTGGCTGGGAGGGTGCTTTTTCCAAGGGGAAACCCTTGAGCATTCCATGTTTTGCAGATCTGTAAGTATGATGCTGTGCCTTGGTTCTCCCTCTCCTGACTGACCTTTTCCATTGCTTTGCAGAAAGGAACTAGTGGAGCTGTGCTGCTAACGAGTTCTTCCTCCTTAAGTGTACTGGCTCCATCCTACAAGTCCAACAACCCAAAGCTGCCAGCTGCCCTGAGCTCCACCCCGTTAGGTATTATCTCTCCTATTCATTCTTTCCCTCTCCATGTCATCTCCTTCAGTTCCGACTCCTCCCCAAAAGCAGGAGTTTCCAAGGATGCAATAGTTACGGGACCTGCTCCGGGAACTTTCCACCACGGCCTCGGGCACAGTGAGTATCCTGCTGGTCACCTGTGTGTCACTTGTGCCTGTGCTGTCACCTGGAACATGTGCTGGGCTGGCCCATTGCACACCAGCCCATCTCTCTGGCTGTTGCTTCATGCTGTGGTCCCTGCTTTTGTATCTCCAGCAGTTGCATTTGGAGAACCTTGGGCACATCCCTAGAGCTTGCCCAGAAATGCCAATATCTGGAACCCAACTTCTGCTAACTGCTGCAGCTCCTCTGCTCATTTCTGTCTTGGATGTGTATTTGTTCCTTTTTTTCCCTCTCCTCTCTTTGTTTTTCTCTCTAGGTCTTCTGGCTGGTTTGCACTCCAGCCCCCACCATGCAGCGCCACTCCCACACTCTGCCCTGTCCACTCATTTACCACAGAGTTTGCCAGGTAACTTGTCAGATGCTCGTGTTTTCCTTCTGCCTCCTGAGTCTCCCTCTATCTCAGCAGATTCTTCCTCCAGGGCTGGAGCCAAAGGGGTTGTCCATGTTTTCCAGCTGTGTGGTTGTCTCTAAAGCCTCTCTGAGGTACAGAGCGAGGGGCTGGGAGCAACCTGGTCTGGTGCAAGGTGTGCCTGCCCATGGCAGAGGGTGGAGCAGGATGGGCTTTAAGGTCCCTTCCAACCCAAACCATGATTAGGAAGAAATTCTTGGCTGTGAGGGTGGAGGGGAGGCCCTGGCACAGCTTGTCCAGAAAAGCTGTGGCTGCCCCTGGATCCCTGAAAGGATCCCTGAAAGGCCAGGTTGGACAGGACTTGGAGCAGCCTGGGATAGTGGAAGATGTCCCTGCTCATGGCAGGGGGTGGAATGGGATGGGCTTTAAGGTCCCTTCCAGTCAAACCAGTCTGGGAATCTGTGATTTCTGAAATGATGAGTTCTCAGTGCTTACAGCAAGTGTTGGTTCCTGGAGATACTTGGAATTACCCTACCAGGATGAAAGCTGTGCCTCTTTGTGCACAGCCTGCCAGGACTGCCCTGGAATGAATATTCCAGCTCTGTGGAGTTTTGTTCCTGGTGACCTACAAAAAATGTGTCAGACCAGACTGTCTTGTGTCTATGCAGTGAGTTAATTGCCAGCATCTCCTTCATGACAAGTTTGTAGTGTAAATGCAGATTGCTCCACTTGCTGCTCACACCGTGAGGATTTGGCAGTTAAGCCTGTTCCTGCCCCAGTTTGATGCCTGCAGAAGTGATGCATAAAACAAGAGTTTTCCAGAGAAGGAGAGAAGTAAGGAAAATTGAAATTCAGTAGCCAGCAGATTGTGTTTGCCTGCTTCAGGGAACTGCCCTGGTGACTCCTATTTCTGCTTTCTCAGGGGTGTTCTTTACCACTTTATCAGTGCCATTATCTTAGTACCTGCTCCTCTTGGCATGGTCTTCCTGGGCTAAGTGAGCCTGATTTAGAGTGCTAGACTGGTCCTGTGACTGTGTGCATGGATAACCACGTAGCCTCCTGGAGGAGTCATGGAATAAAACACCCTTGACTGCTGAGCACGGTGCTTGTTTGCTGAAGAAAGAAGAGTGTGTTGTGCACTCGTGAAAATGTAAAGAATTGGTTGGGTTTGCTTCCTTTGCTGGAGTTTGAGGTGGGTTGTGCTGTGCTGGTGTGGTAGAGCTGAATAGGTCCTTGCAGTGATCATTGGTGTGACAGACCCTTCCTTCCTGTTTGTAAATCACACTCCCTGGAATGAGATCAGGGATTGTACCTTGAACATGGCTTGTGGAATATATTCACTGAGGAGCAGCTCCTTGTCCCTTTAGTTGAGGGAATTCAGTGATCACTTCACCATTGTTTATAGGGCTTATAACAGAAAAGTTTTTTTGATGGACTCTTCAGCAGGATGTAGGGCCAGAAGATGAAGGACCACTGGGAATAAGTGAAGGAAAACTAACTATGGATATAGCTTCAGCAAGGACCTGCTTTCTCACTTGGTGTTTTCACTTAAAGATTGGAGAAGGAGCCTGGTGCTGCCATCTCTTGGAACATTCCCAATTCTGGTGTTCTGTAGAACACAGTAGATATTTAAGTGACCCCCATAACCTTAAAATGAATTCCTGTGTTTTGTGGCACAAGCTGTGTTTGGCTGTGCCAACATCTGCCCACAGCTGCATTGCTGTGTCTGAATGCTGCAAGGTGCGTGGGAGGCTGCTGCAAATGCAAGGGAATGTTGATGCCTTACATAAAAGTGCTTTTACATCCATCTTCACCCAAAAGCCTCTGAGCAAAGAGCATCCAGTGCTTGCCTGTGTGTGGTTGGTGCTGCTGTTGCTGGTGGAGGTGCCTTGTGCTGGGGCTGGTTCTGTGGTTGTGGGATGTGCTGGGCTGAGCTCTTGCATGCAAGGAGTTGTTCTTGGCCTGGAGGAGAAGCTGTTGCTGCACTGCTGGGTGCCACTGCTGCTTAGCTGCACATCTCAGTACTCCAATTTGTTCATCACAGTCTGAAGTAGTTTTAATTGCTCCTGGAAAACTTGTGTTTCCTTGAACTGCCTTCCTTTTTCTCTCTTCTGTGTGTTTTCTCGTTTCCTCAACTTTTTCCACATCCATTCCTTTCTGTTCCATTAGTGGTGAGATTCCTATGGATCCTGCTGCTATCAGTGGGCACCTAAAGCCTTCATTTAAAAAGCACCTAATTAAATAATATAAAAATAATTAATAAAGCACCTAAAGCCCTACCTGAAAAATATTTGTAGGTGAGGGGCTGGCCTCTTCTCCCACACAACCAGTGACAGGACAAGAGGAAACAGCCTGAAGCTGTGCCAGGGGAAGTTTTGGTTGGACATCAGGAGGAGTTTCTACATGGAAATGGTCATCAGACATTGGCAGGGGCTGCCCAGAGAGGTTTGGAGTCTCCATCCCTGGAGGTGTCCAAGACCTGGACGTGGCACTCGGTGCTCTAGGCTGGGGACAAGCTGGGGATGGGTCACAGGTTGGACTCCACAGTCTTGGAGGTCTTTTCCAACCTCAGTGATTCTGTGATTACAACGGCAAAAATGTACAACAGGTTACTTTGATCCACCTGTAGGTGCAAAGCAGCCACACCACGTTTTTTGGGATTCCTGGAGGGGGAGATGTGGCAGGGTGGATTTAGAGAAAGGCACAGGCCAAGGAGTTCCCTGGCAGCTGGAATTGTGCCGTGGTGCTTCTGCTGAGAGCCCACAGGGGACCCTCAGTGCTTCCTTTGTCCCTTCCTCAGAGGCTGGGCTGTTCCCCGTGCAGAGATGTCCCCAGGCACATCCTCTTCTTCCTGATTCCTTGGTGCTGGGAAGGAAGAGTAGGTCTTTCCCTCTGTGCAGAGGCCTGGCTGTCCCAGCTGCCCATCCTCCATGGGCTGGTGCTGAACCCCCTTCCCAGCTGGTTTTATTTTCTTTCAGATGCTTCTCAGCTTCACGGCAAAGGGTCCAATGCACAGCAGCGCAAGTTGTGACACCTGCAAGGAGGGGAGCTCCAGCACCCATAGGATAAAATCCAGAGGAACAGGTCATGGACTTTGGATACCAGCTGTGTCTTTTGATTTCTTTTTGGTTTTTTTCTATTTCTTTTTTTTTATGACAACTGGAGAGACTGAACTGCAACAAGGAACTCATTGGGGGGTCTGCTCAGAGGCTTTCAGAGCTGAGCCCCACACATGGGGTCACCTTGAGCCCTGCCCCGATGAGAGGAGCCTTTTGTAGCACTGTTTTATTGCTGCTGCCCTTCCTGCATTCCCTGGCACTGGCAGGAGCTGGAACTGGCAGGGAGGCTCAGGTGGTCCTGCAGTGGATTCCCACCCACCTGTGTCTGTAGCTGCCAAGTACCTCCAAGTCCAGTTACCTCCTTGGTCTCCCCGTGGAGGGTATGAAAGGTGCTTCTTTCTTCTGCTTTGGATTTACTTGGATAATTCTAGCACTGCCAGTGCTTTCTTGAAGACATTTGAGTAACTTTCCAATTGTACTATAAAACTGTGCTACACTTAATTGGAGGATTTAACATTTCCTGTGTGGTGAATCTGAGGAACCACCTGATGTTCCCCTCTGGAGGAGACAGAAGACTCTTTAGAGACTAAAGACATTTTTAGATTCAATCATCGACTTTCAGAATTCTACTTCTTTTGAGTTTTTGGACTTTTTTCCCCCTCCAAAGGGATGCTTTTTTTCCTGCTCAGTTTTATCCTCATTGCCATTGAATGCATTGGATTGAATGGGACACTTCTTAGCATGTCACGTGGATCGGAAGACATAATTCCAGTGCCTTTTATGGTGGAGCAAGAATGGACTAGTGACACACATTTCAGCCCTATTTTGTGTGCTCCTCAACCCTTTTTTAATCATTCTGTATTTAAAATGTACTCTGGTTTATTTAATAGAGCTTTTTATGGTTGCACATCAGAAAGGAAAAAAAAAAAGCTGCACTGTCTGGACTTCAGTGGTGACCTGGTGACTGAGCACAGTCCCAAATCCAGCAGGAGCACTGGTTCTCATCCCAGTATGTGCAGGCGGGTTCCAGGCCCTCCCCTAAAGCCATTCTTTCCTAGGGTTGTGAGTTAGGATCAATTTGGTGGGCAGAGGGAATGAGCCAGATGAACCAAGGTCCCATGTCAAATGAATTCCAGAGAAAACCACTGCTCTCCTCAATGGTACCTGCACCAGGATCATGTGCTCAGCACAGCTGCAGGAACAGGGACCATCTACAATTGGGGGGTGTCTTTTCTTGTTTGTTTTTTCTTAATTTTAGACCTAAATACTCTCCCTGTGCACCTCCTTTCAGGCTAAGGGCAGGCTGAGGCTCCACCTGAGCTTTCTGAGGTTTGGTTTCCTGCTCTGCCCTGTCTGTCTTCTCTCAGGCCCCCACAGCCACGTCCCAGTTGTGCAGTGATAGTGCTGATCCACATAGAATTTACTGGTATTCCAAGGAAAAGCTTGTAGCTTCCTCCTTGAGCACTGGGAAAGGATGCTGACCCCAGGATACCAGCAAATGTCTGCTTTAGTTTCCTCTGTTTTTTGTTAAGATCTGAGAAAGACTGTTTTCAATTTGAACTGATGCATAACTGCCCAAGAATCAGTGAGTTGATTGTATTTCACAATAATGGATACAGCTCAGATTTCAAGTCTGTTTACAGAAAATACCTAGGTTGTAGCAAAAGAGCCAAAGAGAACTCGCGTGGGTAAAACGAAGCACAGCGTTTCTTGGTGGACTCTGAGCAGCGGATGTCGCGTGGTTCCTGTTGAAGGCCTCGTCCTGAGGGGTGCTTGGCACCTTCACCTTCCCCTGGGAGCTGAAAGGTTGGGACACCTGGCAGGATAGGGGCTCTCAGCGAGTGACTCGAGGTACTGGTTCTCCTCCCTCTCTTTGCTTTCACTTGAATGCTTCTGCTGGGAAGCCCCGGTGTGCGCGGCCAGAGCAGAATGCCCTCCTTCTAGGAATTTAGCGAAGCCTCTTGCCTCAGGGAAATGTTTATGTGGTGGAAATTCTGTGGGATATTTTTTCTTTACATGCTATAATGAATGAGTGAGTGGTGTGGAGCAGAGTGGCAGCAAGGCAGGCCCACGCAGAGCAGCTGATGGGGAGCCAGGCTGGCACCTCTGCCTTGGGGAGGCAACTTGCAGCGCTTCCAGGATGGAATGGGGAGGGATAGGCTCCCATGGCACTTACCTGGGGATGGCAGTTCCTTTTGGGTGTAAGAGCTGCAGTTTACTATTCTATTTTTTTTTATGTGTGTTGGCACTGTCTTGCTGAAGATGGTGGGGGTGTTATGAAAACTGTTAATCTTGTACAGAACAACTCAATAAATTGTTTCAAACTTTCCAAAATGCTTTTTTCCCCCATCTCCTTACCTCTGGTTTCCTGACTTTGTTTCTGAGAATTTCTCTTGCAGCTAGAGTGCTCATCTGTGTCTCGAGTGAGTAATGAATTATTGACTCTTTTAAAGTCTCCTACATGGTGAGTGAATGGCAGTTGTGTTACAGCTCTTGCAGGGGTAAGGATGTTTCTTCTCATTCCCTGTGCTCCTGCTGGTGCTTGAAGTTGGCATCTGTTGGAAGGGACACGTGGGGCTCAGACCCCCAGGGCATCAGTATGTTCCTCCCTGATCCCTTCACTGACAAAGGTAAAACAGTGGTGTTCATCCCCAGAGCCACGAGGGATAAGCAGGGGATGCTGATGACTGCATTTGTGGACAGCAGAGCTCCCTGGGGTTTGGGTATTAGCTGAAATTTGGGGAAAAGGAAGTGAATGGTACCATCCCACTGTAATCCTCTGTTCTCCCACACCTTGCAGTCAGTCCCATTCCTTAGTGCAGTTCACTCCCATCTAATGCTGCCAATTAGTTCCTGCTCAAACGCTGCTCCAGCAATTTCCCTCTTTGAAAAGAGCCAACAGCTAAAATGAATAATTCTAGTGGTTTAATTCTGGCTTAATAATGGCAACTTCTTGTATTGCCAAAGATGAGGAGGCTGCCATAATTAATAAAGACCAAACACCTGATTGGAACCACTGCATTTTTATTTTGTACTATAAATAGAATTCCCCTCTATTCCCCATTCCCTTACACAAGTAAATGAAACATGTAGCTGCATGTAACTCCATCCAGGAAAACACCAGCACTAACAGCTTTTAACCACGAGGGAAGGAGCTGTCTGTGGGAGGCCCTCTGCATTGGGTTCCCTTGCATGCTGTGCACAGCCCCTTGTGTCTGGTGGTTCTGCCATCTCTTCATGTCCTTTTCCTTGACCTCTGGGGTGTGTGAATGCCTCTCCTGGGTCAGTGGCTGGTGCCACCAAAGTAGACCTTCACTCTTCCCCAGCAGCACAGGCACAGAGGTGAACAAATGGCGGTGGTGGGTCTTGATGTGGTGATTCTGGACTGAAACCTTGGCTTGCACAGAGCTGGTTTTCTCAGAGGACGAGCCCATCATTGAGTCAGGTGTCCACGGTGGGACTGTCTGGCTTACCAACATGCAGTTGATGTAACCAGCTCCTGAGGTCACCTCAGAGTCACCTGGACCTTCAGTCTTCTCTCCCGACACGGCTTCATACATGACTACGTGAGCAGGAGCTGAGGAAACCGCAGGTTCTGCTGAGTCTTCGGACTTGAGGCACTTCACTGTCCTAAGGCTTTCTCTTGTTTTCTGGTAGGAAGAGGGGAAGAAGGTTTGGCAGATGTTTTCCACTACTGGTGGTGTTTTCTGCAGTGTGTGACAGCAAGCGGTGTGGCTGCATAGCATGGCCGGGGCAGAGGCTGTAGCAGTTTGGAAGACGCGAAGGAGGGCGAGGCTTTGCAGTGATCTGGATGTCTACAAGGTGCTGCAGCTCCGACTGGCTGCTCTTGAAGTGAAGTTCCTAAAGTGGAGCGAGCGCTGTGTAATTGCTTCCGGACACCAAGACTGCCAGCTCCTGGATAGACATCTCCTTGTTGAGGTAACTGTCGTACTGGGCCGCAGTGAGCCTCCCGCTCTTCAGGGCGTCCTCGATGGAGAACTCCCTGCCAGACTTCCTGTCCAGGATCACAGACGATTCCCCGTTCGGACCCTTTATTGAGATCTCCTCCCAGTCACATTCCTGGCTCTTCAGCTTGACAAACAGGCTCCATTCAATGAGGCCAAACACGTGAGCTTCCTCTGGAGACATCTCTTTCCCTGTGTCGGGGTCAATGACCACGATGGAGCGCCTCAGGTGGTTCTCCCTTTGCTCCCTCTTGATAGCCACTGTCTTCAGGCGATTCTGGAGTTGCTCAATCTCTGCATCTTTTTCTCTGGATAACTGCTTCAGATCCTCTAGCTCTCTTTCCAAAGCTTGGAACCTGGAGTCCAGGTTTATTCCACTGTCCACATGGGTCATGTTTCTCAAATCCTGAGCTTCTGTTGCGGTGAGTTCAATCTCTGACTGCAGTCTCCTTGTTTCCATCAGCAGGTTCTGTTTCTCGAGGTGGAGCTTGTGGTTTTCCTCCCTTAACAAGTCTAGCTCCTTTGATGACTTGGAGTTGTTGAATTCCACCTCGGACAGCCTGGTTTCCAGGCGGTTGATATCTGCATCCAGCTCCCTCTTGCGCCTACTTTCTTCCTCCAGGTTGCTCTTCAGCTTTTGAATCTCGTACTCTGTGTCTCCTTTGTCCACTTGGACACTCTCTGAAAAGACCACTTTCTCCTTGACCTCCATCTTCTCCAAAGAAAGGAGCTTCTTTCTCAGGGCTTCTAGTTCAGTTTGCAGGACTTGTCTGCGGTGCTTCTCTTCTTCTAACTCCAGCTTGAGGAGGGAATGCTCCTTCTCCTGCTGGGGATCTTGCTGAAGGATCACTTTCTGTTTCACAGTCACTCGTTCTGTCGTTTCTCTTTCCTGTTCTTCCAGCTCGTTCAGCCGGATCCTGAGCCTCTGCACCTCCAGCTCAGCCTCCCTGCGGGCCTGTCTCTCCTTCTCCAGCTCCTCCAGCTGCCGCTCCAGCTCGGAGCGTCTTCTCTGCAGCTTGCGCAGCTCCTCACGGAGGCCATCGATCTGCTTCAGCTCGCTCTCGATGCTCTGGGAGAAGGAGTTCACCTCAGCTTTTAAGGCAGGATCCTGCTCATACTTCACTACTTCCTGCTGGACCACTTTCTCCTTCACCTGAGAAAGTTCTTCCTCCTTCTGTCTTACTTTTTCTTCTTGGAGAAGCCGCTCCCTCTCCAGGTCGATGTGCTTCATCTGTTCGTCTGCCAGCTGCACTCGCAGCGACTCTACCTCCTCTCTAGTCTTGGGGTCCTCCCGAAACTGGAGGATTTCTTGAACAACTTCCTTCATTTGCACTTGAGGTTTGGTGTCTTTCAAAGCTTGTATCTCTTGTTTCAGCTGGTAAATCTCCAGGTCAGCTCTTTCGATAGCTCCGGTCCTCTCTATGATTTCCTCCCGGAGCCGCTGTAACTCCTTTTCGGTTTCTGGATCATTCTTGTACTTAATGACCTCCTTAATGACTTCTTTGACTTCTACCAGGGGCCCTCTGTTCTTCAGAGCAGCCAGCTCATTCTGGCAGCTCTTCAGCTGTTCGTCCCCACCGCGGTACCTCCTCTCCTGCTCAACCAGCTCCAAGCGGAGGTTGGCAACTTCATTCTCAGCCTTGGGGTCTGGGCGCACAATCTCACGCACTTTCTCCTGAACAACCACCTTGGAGTTCTCCTCCTCCAGCAGCTGGATCTTCCTGAGCAGCTCAGCCTTTTCCCTCTCATTGGAACGGCCCTTGGACTTCTCATCCTCGTACTGGCGCCGGAGCTCGTTCACCTCCCTCTCAATGACCAGATCTTTCTCCACCTTCAGCACCTCTTTGACGGTGATTTTGCCCTCGGCGATGGCCCGTTCCTTCTCCAGACGCTTGAGCTTTTCCTGGAGGAAGCTGAGCTCTTCCTCGTGCTTCTGCCGAAGGGCACTCTCCCTCTCCTTGGTCTCCTGCAACATCCGGAATTCCATCTCCAGCTGGGGATCGTTCTGCAGCTTCAGCACTTCCTTCTCTGTCACCTTCTCCTGCTCTTTGTTCTTCTCGCTGGACAGTACAGCAATTTGTTGGCGTAAGAGGATAACCTCACTCTCCCTGGTCCCTTCCTGCCTCCTGAGCTCTTCCAGTTCCTCTTTGAGCTTGAGGATTTCAGCAGCTTGAGCTTTATCTTGTTCAATCCTCAGCACCTCTTTCACAATGTACTCCTGCCCTCCTTCCCTCTTCTCGTGCTCCAGAACACGCAGACGGACTTTAAGAGCCTCCAGCTCATCCTGGAGCACCTGGTTCTTGCGCTGCTCCTCTGCCAGGTTTTGCTGCAGTCTGTGGAAGCTCTCCTCCAGCTGGGGGTCAGGCACCTTCTTCACCAGTTCTTTCTTCACCACAGTTTCTTGGGGCTTCTGGTTTTGCAGGTGGACAATGTTGTTCTGAATGGCTTCAATCTCTGCCTCGAGCTGTTGCCGACGCTGAGTCTCATCCTCAAGCTCTTTCTTCAACTTCCAGACTTCTTCCACAGGCCTTACAGACTTTTTGGTCTGGGCAAAGTCTTGTGTCACCTGAATCTCTGGCTGCTGTTGTTGGAAAAAGGATCAAAAAAAATCAGTCCAAAAAATCCAGTTAATTTTAACACTTTTGGTGCTTATCATCACAGAATCATTGAGGTTGGAAAAAACCTCCAAGATCATCAAGTTCAACCTGTGACCCATCCCCACCTTGCCACCAGCCCAGAACACAGAGTGCCATGTCCAGTCATTCCTTGGACACCTCCAGGAATGGTGGAACACATCCACCACCTCCCTGGGCAGCCCCTGCCAATGCCTGACAACCCTTTCAGTGAAGAAATTTCTCCTGATGTTTAACCTGACCCTCTCCTGGCCCAGCCTGAGGCCATTCCCTCTCCTGTCCATGTTCCCTGGGAGCAGAGCCCAACTCCCCCTGTCCCCCCCTCCTGTCAGGGAGTTGTGCAGAGCCAGAAGGGCCCCCTGAGCCTCCTTTTCTCCAGGCTGAGCCCCTTTCCCAGCTCCCTCAGCTGCTCCTGCTGCTCCAGCCCCTTCTCAGTGTCTGCCTTGTCATGAGGTGCCCAGAACTGGACACAGAACTCGAGGTGCCTCAGTAGTGCCAGCACAGAGGGACAATCCCTGCCCTGGTCCTGCTGGCCACACTATTGCTGACCCAGGCCAGGATATCAGTGCCTCCAACAAAGCAACAGAAGGGAGCTGAGCTGTGGCAAACTCTGAACAGGGTGCACCTGCAAACAGACTTCTCTGCGGGTTCCCAGCCTGAGAAATCACTTCTGCAATGCCTGCTGCTGTCAGAACAAAGCTTTGAGCCACAAGGGATACTAATTCTGCTCCAGAATGGCAAAACAAGAGGGTTAAATATTATTTGGAGCTGCCTAGGATGAGTGGGAAATGGGACTGGGGGTTGGTCTGTCTGATTTAAGTGAGTGCTGATTAGACAGGACAGCGGCTAGACTTGTTCCCAGTTCAGCCTGCATTGGCAGAACCCCACATGTGCCCTTCACACGTGTCCTTGGGTCCCACACGTGTGTCACCTTGCTCCTGTGATCACTCACCTGCCGCAGGAGGCTCTGGGCAAACTCCAGGTTCTGCAGCCTCTGCTTGTTCACAGCATTCACTTCTGTGTATTTGGCTGCCAGAACAGCTTCCTGCAGAGCAAAAACGTGTTGGGAAGAGCTTGAGAAGACCAGAAACAGCAGGCCCTAAAGAGGCAGCTCTGGGTGCTCCTCTAAAAACCTGCAGCAGTGAACTGCCAAGATTTGGGAGAGGTCACATGATACACTCATGGTCAAACTGTGAATTTTCTACTCTAGCAAAAACAGGTGCAGTAAGAAACAGGTGAGGAAGCTGAGGAAGAGCCAGGTGGACACATCTGCTTGCCTCTATAAGCAGGATTAGTCTGAAGCAGGTAGCAAACAGATCCTGCATAAGTAAGTAGCTTGTGGCTTCATTTCGCCGTAAGTATTTCTATCTTTGGTGGTAAAATGTCTCTGAAAGTCTAGAGAATGGAAAAATGTCCAGGTTTTTGGCATTTCTCTTCCTTTTTCCCTTCTAAAAGTGTTAAATCCAGCATTTTCTCTCCCTCATTCTCGCCAGCCCAGTTCAAAAAAATTATGAAAAATCCCTTCCTCCAGATTCCCTGCCCTTGCCTGTGGTCCCCTGTGGGACCAAGGTCCCCACAATAAATGTGGGTGTTTGTAAACCTCCAGTGGTCCTGTGAGCTGCCCTCTCCTCTGGCCCCACTTGCTTACCTCCTCCTTCACTTTGGCAGCCGGGGACTGCAGCCTGGGCTTCTTGCTCGTGTAGCCATTGCGGCCGTTCTCCAGGTCCAGGATGGACCGCAGCTTCTCAGCTTCCAACTCGTAGTCCTGTGGAGGACATTCCCAGGAGAAATGTGAAGTTACTGGGTCCCCTTCATGCACAGGCTGCTCCTAAGCTGCCCTGGCTTTAACAACTTCACCCCTTGACCTGTTTTTTGGGAAGGCCACAAAACCCCACCCTCTGCTGTGGAGCCAGGCTGGGAGAGCTGGGGGTGCTTACCTGGAGAGGAGAAGGCTCCAGGGACACCTCAGAGCCCCTTGCAGGACCTAAAGGGGCTCCAGGAGAGCTGCAGAGGGACTTGGGACAAGGGATGGAGGGACAGGACACAAGGAATGGCTTCCACTGCCAGAGGGCAGGGATGGATGGGATATGGGGAAGGAATTGTTCCCTGGGAGGGTGGGCAGGCCCTGGCACAGGGTGCCCAGAGCAGCTGTGGCTGCCCCTGGATCCCTGGAAGTGTCCAAGATCAGGTTGGATGGGGCTTGGAGCAGCCTGGGATAGTAGAAGGTGTCACTGTCTGTGGCAGGGGGTGGGACAAGATGAGCTTTAGGGTCTCTTCTAACCCAAATACTCTGTTTCTCTGTTCTCTCACAGGCAGAATTTCAGTCCTTACCTTCACTGCCTGCTGGTACTGCTGAGCTGTGGCAGAGACCTTCTGCACCTCCTGTTCCTTGCTTGCAATGTCACTGAGCAGTGCCTGGGCACACAGAGATACAGGTCAGAGGGAACACAACACCCAAATGCATCCCTCAGCCTTTTTGGGAGTTACCATTAAAATCACAACCCTGAGAATTCCAACCTGCTTGAGCAGCCTTGTTATGTGTAAACAAAGCACAGGAGAACAGTGGGACCTTAGACCACAAGAATAAATCTAAGAAATATTTCTATTTTTCTATTTGATGTTCAGGAGCTATCTAAGCTCTGTTTCTTTTAGTATTGTTCCCTCTCCTCTCCCTGTGGAGCCCAGGGTGCTCTGGGAATTACCGCTTGGCTCTTCAGCTTCATCTCCACTTGCTGGATGTTGTCAGTCTCCTGGGGCTCGTAGTTGGGGATGTTGCACAGGAACTGGTTCACCTTGTCGTAGTTGGTGCGGTAGTTGGAGTAGGCACTTTTTGCTTTCTGCAGGGTCTGCGTTCTGTGGGGAAAATCAGCTCAGCTTCAGTCCTGTCACATTTCCTGTGCCTGCTGCAGGCACCTCTTAACCCATCCCACTTCCCCTGCTCCCTAAAGACATGGATTTGAGCCAGAGTTGTTCTCTTGGCACCTCTGTTGCCAGAGAATTTAATCCTTGTTTTCCCAGCTCTACCCAGCCAGCACTTGCCAGCAACCTCTCCCTCTTCCTCCTCAGACCTCCCTGGAAGCCTTTCTGCAACTCCTCCTTCCCAGGATAGTGTTGTGCCTCCTCCAATTCCAGCGTGGTTCCAACTCCACAGCAAATATCCCGGCTCTCCTGCCCTGGAGCCTCACCTGTGGTCGATCTGCTTGCTGAGGTTGTTGAAGCGCTGGTTGAGCTTGTAGAGCTCTGCCTCCTGGCGCTCGATGTCAGGGCAGTGCTCCTGGAACTTGCTGGCCAGGGTGTTGGAGCATGTCTTGGTCCTCTGCAGGTTCTGCTCGGCTTCACTGAGCAGGAACTTCTTGGACTGGAGCTCAGTGCCCATAGCCTGGGGGAAAAAGCAGGAGAGGGGGATTCTCTGGGGTTCACACAAGCCAGGCTCTTGTCACTGTTGTCACCCACATCAACTGCACTGGAGCTGCATGGCTGAGCTGCAGCAGTGCCACCAGTGGTGGAAAAAAACAAGTTCAAGGTTTACATGGAAAGCAGAAGCCCCTGGTAAACCTGACCAGGAGAAAAGCTACCTCTTACTCCCTCCTCAACCTGCTGAACTTTAAAAGTAAAGTTCAATGCAACTTTTTTGCTATTTTTTGCTAATTTTGCTATTGTGCAATGTGCAAAATAGCTGCTGCCCCTCATGCAAGGCTCAATCCTGTTCTTGCCAGTGCAGCAATTGTGGAAGGAGCAGTGAAAGCTCTTCCATGTTAGTCTGAACTTGGGATTTCATGGAAAAGCTGAAGGAACACAGAAAATTCTGGCCTAGCCGGTTCTTGGTCTTTCTACAGCAGAAGAATTGCCAGTTTGGGTAGTTTTTCCAAGCAGTAACTGTTCTCAAAGCCTTGCCAGGCTCATCTTTCCACTATCAGGCCACTGTGTTGCTTTTCCCAGACCATTTTATCCTTCATTTCTATAAGAATCACAGAAGGTTTTGGAAAAAAAGTTTGGAAAAAGCTTAAAGCTCATCTCATTCCACCCCTGCCACTATGCCAGGTTGCTCCCAGCCCTGGCCAACCTGGCCTTGGACACTTCCAGGGATCCAGGGGCAGCCACAGCTTCCCTGGGGACCCTGTGCCAGGGCCTGCCCACTCTCCCAGAGCAGAATTTCTTCCTAACATCTAATTTAAATCTTTTTTCTTTTAGTTTAAAACCATTCCTCTTGTCCTGTCCAGTATCTGCCTGTGTAAAAAGTCTCTCTCCCTCTTTTTTATAACCCTCCTTTAGGCCCTGGAAGGGTCTCTGAGGTGTCCCTGGAGCTTCTCTTCTCCAGGTGAGCACCCCCAGCTCTCCCAGCCTGGCTCCAGAGCAGAGGGGCTCAGAGCATTTTCTCTGGACCTGCTCCAGCAGATCCATCTTTCTTGTGCTGAGGACTCCAGACCTGGACACAAGACCCTGTGGGAGGGTCTCACAAAGGCAGAGTAGAAAGGGAATCAGTCTGCATTAGTCCTTTTGTTAAATCATGAGACTTCAAGTGTGGTTTGATTTGATTTGATTTGATTTGGTTTGAGGATGGGAGGTGTTTGTGTCTGAAGTAGGTGGGGATTACTGCAGTCAAGGTGAGCTCTCACCCCCAGCTGGGGGATCCAAGCTTGTGAGTTGAGCAGGAATCACCACAGCTTTTGGAAAGTGGTTTTGCATGTGCAGCATGTGACCAGGGCAGGAAACTCACCAGCAGCTCTTCCTTCTTCCTGTCTACCACCCTCAAGTCCTCTGGTACCGTGTCATCTATGACCAGCTTGTTCTCATAGGTTGACAGCAGGTCTCGGCCTTGCTGGAGGCTTCTCTCCAGGTTTGTGGCCACCTCAACTCTGTTGGGACACAAGAGGAGGGTGTTTAAGCACACCTGCACCCTCCTCCTGCAGGATCCTGCGTTAGGCTGGGCTCAAGCCGGGATTTAAGCCATGACTTACTTCTCCTGGGCAGCACTGAGCAGCTGCACCACGCGCTCGTACTTCTTGTTGGTGTTGTCCACCTTGTTCCTCACCAGGGTGGCGCTGCCTGTGTTGGGCACGGATTCGATGAAAGCCTCGCACTCCTGGATCTTCCTCGTTTTCTCAGGCTCGATCCGCCGGACCTCGTTGGTGATGTTCTGCAGGAGGAACAAAGGCATTAGAGCAGCTGAGCCAGGACCTGGTGCCTACAGAGGAGCCACACTTGGCTGTCCAGGGTGAGGAAGGAAGTCAGGGCTGAGGATTTGTTTTTGGTGGAAGGTGCCTTTCAGCCCTGCAGGGCACAGAAGGATATTTTTGGCTGACTTTCTTTTGACCTGTCTCTCCTTAGCAAGGAAACTCCAGCTGGGGAGTGGTTCCCAGCAGCTCCAGCTCTGTCAGGGACACGCTGGATTCCTCTGGGCCGTTGGGCTCTGACGGATTAATCCCTGCCTGGACACCAAAGTGCTGCAGGCAGTCAGGGCAATTTGCTTTCTCTTGTGGTGGCACCTGGATTTTGACACAGCCCTGGGCAAGTGATGTAACCATGACCTGAACTTCCTCCTAAACCAAGGGAGGTTTGTGGCATGGAGCCTGGCTTAATTAGGGGTCTGAAAAAGAGGAAAGGAGCTGGATGCTACCGGCACTGGAGCCTGGAGGAGCCAGGTCCACAAGGAGAAACTGTCTCGGACCACAAGGGTTTTCCTGTTCCTCTCTGAGCTGGTGATAGTGGTAGCAAAGGTAACTGTGCTCAGATGATGGGCAGGATCAAACCCTGAGGGCTCCCCTCTCATCCTCACAGCCACCACCTGCAGCCACCACCTTTTACCCATCCAACTGAGCTGGGCCAGAAGCAGGGCAAAGATTTTGGGCTTTTGAGGCTGCTCATAGGGCTGCTCCCCATCTCTGCTGCAGGAAGCTGTGAGCTTCACACCCCATTTCCAGGGCTCAGGGAGCACTTTAAGCACTCCTGGTTATTGAGAACCATGCTGAAGACCCTTTGGGAGCAGAGTCTCTGCAAGGCACCATCCCACAGGCCCCACCTTGAGGTCCTTGGAGCGCTCGGTGCTGTCCTGCACTGCCCGGCTCTGCTCCAGCGGTGGCCGGAGGTTTGCTGTTATTGCTTTCTCCTGCTTGTCCAGGTCACTGGTGACTTTCTCCAGTCCTGCCAGGAGCTGGCGTCCCCGAACTGATGCAGCATCTGGAAACCAAGAGGAGACCAGATTAAAGCTGGTTGGAAGCTGGATGTGGGCTGAGTCCCACTGGCAAGTGCCAAACCCTCCTCCTCCTGCACTCCCCAAGCCTGGCCTGCACTGACCACAGCCTGGCTGCTCTGCCCCCATCCATCCTCCATCCATCCATCCATCCATCCATCCATCCATCCATCCATCCTCCATCCATCCTCCATCCATCCATCCTCCATCCATCCTCCATCCATCCCCATCCATCCATCCATCCATCATCCGTCCATCCATCCATCCATCATCCATCCATCATCCATCCATCATCCATCCATCCATCCATCCATCCATCCATCCATCCATCATCCATCCATCCATCATCCATCCATCCATCCATCATCCATCCATCCATCATCCATCCATCCATCCATCCATCCATCATCCATCATCCATCCATCATCCCTCCATCCATCCATCCATCCATCATCTATCCATCCATCATCCATCCATCCATCCCCATCCATCCATCCATCCATCATCCATCCATCCATCATCCATCCATCATCCATCCATCCATCACTGTTGTCCCCAGCACCCTTAGGAGATGGGAACACCCACATAAGATGCTCCACCACCTAAGTTCAAGCCTTTTGTGCCCCAGGCTGCCCTCCCGCCCCACACCTCCGATGCTGTCTGCCTTCAGCCCCTCATAGCGCTGCTGGAGGATGTTCTTGCAGTTGTTGGTCTTCTCCTTCACGCTCACGTAGTGCTTGGCAATTCTGCAGAACGGGACAGCAGGAGGTCAGTCAGACCCTCAGCCTCTCCATCACCCCGTCACCATCCCAGCACTGCCCAGGAAGGAGCTCCGGCTCTGGAGGGATTGTGGGGGCAGGGCAGGATTAAAAACACCTTCACCCCATGTTAGGGTAGAGCAGCGTCTTCACTGGAACAGGGGAGAGGCAGGTACGTGCCTGCTGAGGGGGAGGGGTGGGCAGCTCTCCCTGCCGTGACGGCCCCCAGAGCAGGGAGCACCTGGATGGCTCAGAGCCGGCCACCCTTTGCCAGCTGGGGCAAGCAGGAAGGGGCCGGAATCCCTTCGGGAGGAAGCCCGAGGCTCCGAGAAGTCGGGGCTTGGCTGTGGGAATTGGGGCCGAGCCCCGGGGTGCCAGACAGGGTGCAGCGCCTGGGGCTGGGGAAGGCAAAGGCCGGGGGGCAGCGGGACCTGCCCGAGCCTGGGGGCACGTACTGCTCTGCCAGGGCCAGCGCTTCTGGGTCGGGCGGGGGGATCATGAAGCAGACCCCGGGGGCGCTGAGCGTGTCTCCTGCGCTGTCGGCCACTTCCCAAAGGTCTCCG